CCCCAAAACCCCAAAACCCCGAACAAGTAAGAGAAGATTATTTATTCTTGAATGATTAATATTATTTACTATATATTAAATAATCCCCAATGATCATATATATACTTCATAATCTAATAGCTGATATTAGATAAACAAAGTCTGATCTCAGGAATAATTGCTATCATCATCCTCTGATGAATCTTCTTGATCTTATCTTTCTTTGAAAATCTTGATTAAAAACACTTTGCCTGATTCATAAAATTCTAAATCAAATTCATCATCCTTGGCGTATTCAATCTTAAAGCCCTTCTTCTCTAATTCTTCTTTGAACCATCTCTCAACATCACTAAACCTATGCGTGAAACAGAACAGGATTTCATTACGGCCAAACTTATACAAACTATCTAATGTTTGCACTAGCTCAGCAAAGTACTCGAAATCATAAATCAAGTCACTGCCCAGAATTAAATCAAAAGCTTCACCTTCTTTGTTGTTTATCTCAGCACATTCATATACCTATTAAAGGTTCTCCTTATTACCCCAAAATAGCTCATTGCAATGAACTTGCTGTTTTTCACATCTATTTAGGTCAATATTCTCCTTAATAATGTTAATCACTGATCCAAGATCAGTGGCAACTATTTTGCTAGGGTGTAGCTTCTATGATAGATAAATAGTTGTAAATCCACAGCCTGCTCCCAGTTCTATAACTTTTTTCCCTCTTAACTTTTGTCTTTAGTTCTTGTACACATATTTAGCAAGTACTATTGCCTATAGATTAGCGCGTTAAAAATAAAAAATAAAAATTACTGAATCATAGACACAGGAAGGTGGCTCTGTATGAGGAGTCTGTTTAATAATAATATCCTCAAATACGAGCTGCTCTTAAAACCTTTGAGAGATGGTAAGCTTGTTTCTTTGCCAAGCACTTGATGATGAGGTAATCTGTTGATATTCCTCCATTAAGTTAAACTTTTCTAATTAAATACTGAGACCTGCATATTACCTATATTCTTAAGAATTGTTTCATGTGGGGTTTTGGGGTTTTGGGGCTTTGGGG